TTCTTGTTCCTGCAAGCTGGCGGACACCCTGTTCTGTTCTGTTCTGTTCAGTTAATTCGGCAAGGACACAGAAAGAGGTTTTTATTATTTTCTTCTTTAGCAGTAGAAAAATTGTAGCCTGGGGGCATGTTGCTTTGACAGATTGGGGTTATATGATTGAAGCTGACCTGTGCAGCTTCCTTCCCTTTCCCCCTCCTGGCAGGCGGAATGAAGCATTTATGATTGGAAGTGGCTATCCTTATTTTGCTCTTTATCTGATGGAAGGCCACCACAGTACCCAAGAAGGACTTCTGATAGATTTTACTTTTCCTGTGAGGGACACTTGAAAGCTCAGTGAAGAGCCCGTAGAAATAGATATTTTGGCTGTGTGGGAGGGAAGCATTTAATCACAGCGAAGAATAGGGGATTGCACAGTCAAATAAGCAGCTCTTGGTAGATTTTAGAGACTATCAGTGGGAAGAAGGGTATACTGAATAGGAATGTAGGAAAGCATAAATGGAAATGAACTGAAGAGAGATAATAGCATCATATTTAGAATCTGTCACTTCATCAGAATGTTGTTGACTGGTTATTAGCGAAAGAGAAGGAATTGTTTTTTTTAAAAGAAGGAGAGTTTCATTTCCCTTTCATTAGCTGAGGAACCTGCTGACAGGAATTAAGGCAGAATATAACTAAAGTGGGGCTTCAGCCACCCCCTCATGTCTGCAAGAAAGGGTTGTTTTTAACCCAGATCTGCTCGGTGACTGCATGTGCAGCATGGCCCTGAAAAAAAAACCAACACAAACCAAACAAAAAACCCAAACCAAACCCAACTCTGCTGGCAAAACCAAGGCTGCTTTGTGCTGCTACGGGAGAACAGGAAGGAGAGGTTGGGGTGGGAATCGTGTAGGCAGCAGTGCCCCTGACGCCTGTGTCATGAAAATACGCCTCAAATTAACTATTGTCCTCAATCCAGGCTGAAACAGGGGCTTTGCATAATCACTGAAGGAGACAGCTCCTGCTCCTAAAGATGTTAGGTTTTGAATTGCCAAGATAGACAAAGGAGACATTGGCAGCCCTTCACACATGGGAAACAGAGGCAGAAAGAGAGATCCGTCTGGGACACATAGGGTAATTTTGACGCAAGGGGTGCTTCCACTGATGTGTATACTCCAATTGCAGGATTGCCTTTCCTTTCTAATACTGGATTTTTTTCTCCCTGAAACTTCAGTTCTAATACAGGATTGTTTACCAAACACATGATTTCATTTTGCTCTGTTCAATAAATACAGTAGTGATTCTTTCCTCAGGCAAAACTGTGCAGCTTGCGTATAGATCTGAGTTGCAACACTGCTGTTGCAAATGCTCCAGGGATCTTCAGATAGATTTTCCTTTTGGGAGTGCAGGGACAATAATGCAAGGAAAGGCAGAGGTGGGACTTCGGCTTCTGCTCTTCTTTGTCATCCTGGGGATCACAACCCCATGGATATGTAGAAGGGGAGCTTACAAGAGTAGTAATGCTGTTCTGCCAAGCTTCACATGGGAAGAACAGGAAAAGAAGTATCTTACCAACTAGAATGTCCATTTTTCTTCTTCAAGTTTGTTGATGAAGGCCAGTGAGACTTGGCATTGCATGATCAGACTGGGGCTATTTGGGTATTTTATGAGGCAGGATTGAGTGGAACCATCTGGGCTAGGAGAAGACCACACTTCTGAAATGAGTCTTAAGGAATATTTAAGTAGCTGTCTGGGGCACCATGCTGAAAGGAAGGGCACTCCCAGCTGCGTGTATTTTATGGGTTTATTTTATCTCTGATGACAAAAGAGAACTCAGTAGCCATGTGGTTCCTCATAAATTGCAAGGCACTGCTGACAAGTGGCACTGCCCGTGTTCTCAACCATGCTGGCGCAAAGTTCCCCCCACTTTCTGGCTCATGATATTAATAAGGTTGCTGCTAATGAGTGATGCTTTAGCAAGATAGCTAACTTTTCTCTGCACTTGAAGGCAATCCCCAAGTTATAGTTCATGAATGCAAACTTCAGTATCTTAAGTACTTTAGGTGAATGCTTACATGGTCATTCATCTAATACCAAAGTGGCTCATCTCTCCAGTTCCTGAGGCCCCGGCCTTCCTGAAGGTGTGCTCTTTACTTTCCTGATAGCCCAGGGAATCTGCACCTCTGAAAGTAGTATCCTTCCAGAAAGCTAAATAGAGGTTTGGGAGAATAACTTCCAGTATATCAGTGGCACATCTCATCTTAGGCGGTTTAAACTATTCATTTGCACTGCAGTCTCTGTTTATTTGTTTGTTTGCTTGGATTTTAATTTAAGCTCCACTGGGGCAGCTTCCTAATGTACCTCCAGGGGCCTGGTTCCACTGCCAGTATTCCAGTTTCCAAAGATGCATCTTATTTCTGTTTTAGGAGGCAAGCTCCACTTCATCTGCTTTTCTGCGTGACAGACCTGGGAAGGGTCACATCAAATTCAGTATATTTTCAAAAAACATTCTATTCAGTATTTCTATTGTGTATTTTTTTCTGTCCATGAGATGAATCTTACAGATTGCTCATGGTAAAATATTTACCAGCATTATCGCTTCAACTAAGATAATAGCTCTTGAAGTGCAGGTGTGAAAGAAGAAATACTTGCTCCTAACCTTTTCTCAGTCTATGTCCTGTTCAAGCTGTTTGTGATTCAATGGACCCTACAAGCTTTGTATTCCATGTTTACTAATGGATCCCTAAAGTTTAAACAGAGGCAGAGGGAAAGAAGACAAACTGGACTCAGGCTTACAAGAATCAGATTCATGCCAGCTCTGCCACAGACCCTCATTTGACTTTATGGCCATCTGGCCATCATTTTATATTGGTAGTTCCCCTGTGTACAAAATACAGTTTCTAATGGTTCTTTTTTTCCTTATCCATACTTGTATAGACTGCAGGTTTAGACAGGAATCGGTTCCTCCTGTGTCTTTGGATACCGCACAAATGAGTCCCTGATCTTAGGTGAAACTTGCAGTTTCTGCAAGCTGTATAATAATAATTAGCTTCTACCTGCTACAGGAAAAAAATGCAGCCTTTAGATTACATTGGTGTAAATAAAAAGTCCACTACAGTTCACAAGTGCTGGTAGTGTTTTGCATCAATGTCTCACTTGAACATCTGGCATTCATCATTGCTTTCCTTTTCCTTCCACTGTCATATTTTATCCCCATCTGTTAGAGGTTTCTTAGCACTGTCTCTGTAAATCATAGCTGCATCTCAGTCTGGGAAGTTGACTCATTACAGGCTGCAATGTAAATGAAGGAAAAAGAGGTAAATTTAAGGGAAGTGTTTCTCTTACGCACTCTGCCCCCTTCTTTCTCCCCATGTACACAGACAGTACTAGACAGTATTCCTAGACAGTGTGATACCCTTGCTATGAAGAGAAATGGAAAAGCTTCCAAAAATAGGAAATGTCTTTATCAGGCCTAGTTCTGAAGGCAGAAAGAGGAGAAGAGCTGGAGTCCAAGTGGACACCCACTGCCATTGCTGGAAAGATTACAAAATTTACTGCTTTGGAACAACCCATCAGCAAGTTAATAATCATTTGGGAAAGCAAACATTCCTTAAAAGTCAGACTTCCCAGGCAATGTCTTTGATGTATTTACTTAAAAATAAATTACGCTTATTGCAGTAATTGAGTTTTCTGCTAGGAATAATAATATTGAGGGTGCTAAGGAAATACAAGTGTGTTAATATTAGCCAAAGCAGAATTTTTACCTTTTTTAGCTTTCTTTTTCCCTAAAAATATGTGCAGTTCCCTCACAATGGCCATCACACTGAGCTCTCCCAAGCCCTGCTGGTGGCAGCAAGCCATGTAGCAGCATTCCAAAGATGCATTTCCGGTGTGGAAATGACCCACCACCACCCCTATATGAAACATTTCCAGTATCATATGTGCACTATCCTGACACAGCCCCAGTGCACAGTGACACACAGCCCTGTGCACTGGGAGCACATGTGGGCTTAATTCCCCGCCGGCTTTAGCAACTAGAGAAGGTATTTCCTTGTTCTAGAAACATTCAAGAGACACCACAGTCCCAAGCTGCTAGAAGTCAAGGGAACAGGCCCATTTCCCTCTACAGAGGGCTGTTGCAGACTTCCATCACGATCAGTCCCAGAACTTTACCCAGGCACAAGGTGGGCTGAAGCTGGAGGGTCTCTCTGTACAAGGCAGCTGTCATGTTTGCAGTTCAAGGGACAGCTTGTATTCTTGGGGACTTCATTATATTTGGAACAGCAAGAATGCCCCATGTCACCATGTGTGTTCCTCCTGATTGTCTTGCTTTTTCCTCCTTTTAGTCTCATGTGTCTTAAGTTTGTTTGAACCCACAGCAGACTAGCTGAGAGTGACCTACGGCTACTATTACTGGTTGTCAACTCATGCCTTCTCTTTCTACAAAGAATATTGCATTCCCGATTTCCCATTATTTTTCACTTATGTTTCTGTGGTGCTATCCTGCTACTTACTGCAGACTCCCACATTTCAACTCGGCAGCCAGATCAATCAAGCAGTAGGTGTCCTGGTCAGCATCTGCATGAAGTGAAAATGATAGCCCAGCTTGTAAACCAATTGCTGAGCTGTTGTGAAGAGCAAGCCCTGGCTGATTCAGAGGGCACGTGGCCATGTGAAAGGCCAGGCAGTCCCTGAAGTCACAGCTGCTCTCTGAAGCTGGTAGATTGGTTGAATACTGATGATTTGTTCTGGCATTTGCAGTCTGTGGCTGAAAACAAATGTCCTGGTGAAAGCATTGCTACTTGGCAAGACTAGAATGGTGGGCTATGAGAAAGAGAAACGCAGGTCTAATGGTGCACAAACTACTTTGCAAAGATACTGCAAGAAGATGACCCAAGAGTACAGTGGAATGGATGCTGTGGTGTTGATTTACTCTTGTCTTTCTGATATCCGCACTGTATCTCAGCTTGCCAAGCATCTTGTTACTAGCAGAGTATTTATTTTCCTTTCTCTTCTTCTTGTAGAAAATTCTACTACATCACACTTCTGAGAGACCCCGTATCCCGTTACCTCAGCGAATGGCGTCACGTCCAACGAGGAGCTACTTGGAAGACCTCCTTGCACATGTGTGATGGCAGGACACCAACTCCTGAGGAGCTGCCGTCATGCTACGAAGGCACGGACTGGTCAGGCTGCACACTGCAGGAGTTCATGGATTGCCCGTATAATCTGGCCAACAACCGCCAAGTGAGGATGTTGGCTGACTTGAGCTTAGTGGGCTGCTACAACATGTCTTTCATCCCAGAGAACAAGCGAGCACAGATCCTGCTGGAGAGCGCAAAAAAAAACCTCAAAGACATGGCCTTCTTTGGCCTGACAGAGTTCCAGAGAAAGACTCAGTACCTGTTTGAGAGAACTTTTAATCTGAAATTCATCCGGCCCTTTATGCAGTACAACAGTACCAGGGCAGGAGGGGTAGAGGTGGATAACGACACCATCCGCAGGATCGAAGAGCTCAATGACTTGGACATGCAGCTCTATGACTATGCAAAGGACCTCTTCCAACAGCGCTACCAGTACAAACGGCAGCTAGAGAGAATGGAGCAGAGGATAAAGAATCGGGAAGAGAGGCTTCTTCACCGGTCCAATGAAGCGCTTCCCAAGGAAGAGACGGAAGAGCAAGGACGCTTGCCCACTGAGGACTACATGAGCCATATTATAGAGAAATGGTAGCCTAAGCAGACTTTTATATTAATGATTCTTCTAGGGTTTCCATATAAAAGATCATGGAAGTAAAATTGCAAAAACCAACAAGAACTATTTTATTTAAAAGCAAGTCTGTAAAACAGAAGGTAGATTGCTTCCTTAAGCAGGGGGTCTTTTTACTGTTTCTTACAAGACCAATGAGATTCTTAAAAAAAATAATAAAGACATAAAAAAAGGGTCAACATGATATTGCAGAGGTAAACCATGCACAAATGGAGTTACCCACTCTTAAGGCCAATCACGAAAGAATGTTTCTTATCCTCACAATTCAAACACCAGTGGCAAAAGCAGGATTTTTAAGATCTGTTTATGCCTTGAGCATAATGACATAAAGATACAGAATTAAAAACCAAGGAAATGGAGGTTTTCTTCTGTGGGTGTTTTTGAAGCTGGGATGGGAACTGCATTGTTTGTAAGTAAATGATAATGGTGACTAAGCTGACGGTGTGCTATCCTGTCGGGCTGTGATCTGAGCACAAGGGCGGTCACTTCGTTTCAGCTGGCAGCCACTGCCAGAATGCAAACCACCATAGAAAACAAAAGAAGAAGAAAAACATCAGAGGACAAGAAACATTAAAGCAAATTGACTGTGGCCTAGGATATGTACTTAGCACAGAGGTTTTGATACACTGCACTGGTATCACATATACATACGCAACTTCATCACAAAGATAATAGGAAATTCATGCACAGAGCTTGCAGATTTGTTTCAAAGGTAGGTCCCAAAACAAGTTAAAAGCAACCAAATTCCACATAGGCTCAAATGTGCACTCACATGCCATCCTGTCATCCTACACAACTGCCGCTCATGCTGTCACCAGTATTATGTGTTAACAGCACATGGAAACCCTTTTCTAAATGCAAAGAAAAAAGGAAGAATTTAAATAGCAATACTCCCTCATAAATCTGCACGACAGGTTCTGGGGAAGAGCCTGCAAGTAATTAGTCATTAATGGGAAGATGATGAGGGGGTGATTTTGTTTTGTTTGTTGCTATGTGAAGTGCTGAACTAGAACAAGCATACAGATGTACCTCTATCTGTATTTTTTCAGTTATTTTTACTTGCTTTTATCAAATGATAATGGCCATCAGCCTGCTTCCAGCGAGGTCACCAGGACTGATTTAAGGGAAACAGGATGGGGCTCTCTTCCAGAGCTGTGAAAATTTCTGACTCTGGGTCTGAACTCATTATGAGATGGTGCACACTGTCTTTTGGCACCATGCCTGTTCTGCAGCTCTTACTTTACATGAACAAGCTGTGTTCATAAACTGGAAAGGGGAATCATGGATGTTTTTTTTTTAGTCTCAGACCACTTTCAAAGCAGAAATCTTTCAATGCTGTTTTTTAGGGACTGATGTGAGTTTAATTCTCCAGTGTGGTGACAGTCTAACCAGGTTCTGCTTACTGCCTTTTGAGTCATAGAACAACGACTTCTCCAGTTCCTCTTCCCACTCACCAAATTAAAGTATGGCTTACTTTTTGCTGTTGCAAGCACTTCTTTGTTTGGGTGGAAGCATGGAAATGAAGCACTTTTTGCCTGTTTCATGTCTCACCCCGTTATTACTGAGCCTGTAGGGCCTGAACCAGCTACTGTTTAGGGTAAACGATGACCCAGATGGAATATAATTTGATTTTCAAAGGCCATGCTAACTGCAAATCAAATATGGCATTGAAATCACTGGAGGGGAGGCAGAGAGCTGATGCATTCAATTTTAGCATGTCACTTTTGCAGTGTTCCTTTCCCATCACACATAGCTACTGAAGTTCTGCTTGTTTTGTATTTTATTTCTCTCTCTGCCTCTGTATACTGTTTCCAACAGTTTCGTATCACACTGAGTTTTGCAAAGGAGGGGCTGCTTTAAGCAGAGGAGCTGCCTTGTTTCTTCTGTGTACACCCTGGGGGATACACCTTGCTTCTGGAGATGTTCTTCTCCAAAGTCAAAATGACTAAAAACTTAGAACATGCAAACAGCAATTTGGGCTCAAATACAACCCTGTTACAGCCCTGATCCAAAGTCCACTGAAGGCAGAGAATGCCTTTCCTAGTGAATTCAAATGGGTTTTGACCAGGTCTGCATCTTGGGGCTGCAAAGTACACAAGCAGATGCTCATCCATATACAAGGACAGTAGGATGTTGTTACCCATGCATTCAACTGGTACCAGTATTTGGTAGTGGTGTTGCTGTCTGTAAGGTTCTGTAAGTGCTTCTGCCACAAAATGGCCCCTGTTCCCAGAGATGTATAGCCTGGCCATAAGCATTTTCTCCTAGCTGAAAAGTGGGAAGCAAAATGAAGCAATTTTCGGTTGTTGGCTTGGGGGCAGAAGATATTACAACTCCATTTGCTCATCTTTGAATTCCAAGACTGGGAGGAGCTATGTCTGCTAATTTCCAGCACTTTTATGTGTTGCTGTAACTAAAGAAAACATTTATATTTTAAAAAATGCAATTTTACAGGCTGTTTACCCACAAAACCCATACACAAGATATAAAAAGCAACTGCTTTATATGCACAGTTCCCAGCTTTCCCCAAAGGCAATTCACTGTGCATCCTGTGTTACGGATCCATCATGCACAAGTGGTTCCTGCAGCTAATCCATATTTGAGGTGCACATGAGCACAGAGCTGTGTAGTGTATGCCCAGGCAGGTCCACATATGCTGGCACTGATTCTGAGAGCCATTCTGTACCAAATTCTGCTCTCAAGGGTGACAATAAACAGGACTGTGCATGATTAGGACTGGTAACATTTCTTGGCTTGGTTTTCTGGAGTTGTTTCTACGTTACAGGCTCTGAGTACCCAGCTGGATTCCAACTGATCTGTCTGCAGGGTCCCCTAAATCAGAGGCAGCCTTTGATCTTAGAAGCATGTCAGTAGAAGACCTTGTTCCAACATTCTGTTTGTAATATATTACAGTAGCAAGCAGAAGAAATGAAACTATATTGAAAACTGTCTTGTTAACAGTTTCACTTCAACCCACAAAAGGAGGGGTGACCTCAGTCTAGCAAGCACTGAGGCAGAAACGTCTAGACTCAAAACCTGTGTCCAGCAAATGCCTCAATTCCTCCACCTGTACATTGGGAATAACAAATTTATGCATTTTAAAGAGGTAATCCAAGCCATGAAAAGTATAGGGCACTTTGAAACAGAGTTGGAAATATAGTGAATGACCGAAAAGCCATCCCCTCACCCTGCCTGCTGTGCTGGTCTCTTTACAGCTGTAGGCCATGGGTTCATTTATTGCAAGTGCTGTGTGCCAGAGCATGGGTTGCAGGACGTACCTGGCACTATCTTCTTCCTTTAGTGGGTTTAAGGGAGCTTTTTTAACATAATGTGAATGTGATAGGGTTTTTGTGATTTATATGTACTACAGTTTGAAGTGGTACAATTAATTTTTAGGACTGATTATTTGATGCTACAAGAACATGAAAAAAATGTGTGTGTAGTTTTAAAATGAATGGAGAACAATGGCTTTAAGTCACTCTGGCAGAAGTATTGGCCAGATAGTACATTCTTGTTCAGTATCTGCCCCTTTCTTCCAAAACATTTTTCCTATGACTTTCAGATGCACTCAGACCTTCTTCACTACATAGTGTTTCTTGAGGGGCCTGTCAGTGCATCATGATCCAGGTCAGGATAAGTAAGTGTTGGGTACAATGAGGGCAGGAGAGGAAGTTCCCCTGGAATTCACATTTTACCTGGTTGCATGATTGTCCATCCCACAGTGTTTCTGTTATGGAAAGACTTTACAAAGGCTGGAGCTGTGTAAGGTATTTCTGTGCAGAGCCTTGCACATCTGCCAAAAAGGGTGATGCTCAGAGTGAGGAGTTACCAGTAGAAATCAGAAACAGAATTCTTGCTTTGGGAGGGTGGAAAGGCCAAGACATGCCGCAGCGTTAAGATCTTTGTTGCTTTTAGTCACTGGAACAGTGTTAACTTTACTGGGTGTTCTTGCTGAAGGAGACTTTTTAGCGCTCATTTGTCTCATCCCACCTGGCTGTCTTGGAGTTTGCCTCCTCCAAAGTTTTCCACACAGTCAGATGCCACCTCGTACCCTACCCGGGTCACAAAACACAGGATTGGCCAGTTAAGTTGCAAACCCAGGTTGTCATGGGGCTCCAAGTCATCAACAAAAAACCTCTCACAAATGGGTCAGTGAATTTTTGACTTGTCTGAATTTCTCCCTTTATGCCCAATATTGTGGAGCACTTGATGGGTTTGCACCCCATAGTCCCCTGTTTGCTTACAATAGTGGGATGGCAACAAAAGCAGCATAAGGAAGATCCCAACAAGCTTTTGAATTCTCTCCACGGGCTGTCCTGTAGGAACAGAAAGGGCAGCGCCATTGCTGAGAGTATGAGCAAGACAGAAGGACCACCACAGTGGCAGACAGACACATGGCACTTAGAAGTTTTTACTCTGAGCCCATCAAATCACTTCACAGAGACACCCCAACAAGCTACAGAAGGTAATGACTAACATTACAGAACAGCCTGGTGGGGATTTATATCCTGGGGTTAAAAGCAGCTCTAGCTTCTCACTGGTGTTCAGAGTTACTCAGACCCCCTTAATAGAATTTTCAGAATGTCACAAAAATGGGTAGTGCTACAGGAACTGGCAACACAGACTAATGCTAAATGTTGTATTTCCAGGGGTATAGCTTGGAATGCAACTCACAGTATCTGCTGGATTCGAATCACAGGGTTGGCTGTGTTATCTTGTTCTTCTTGTCTTTACTAATATTTAGCAGATCATGTCCCAGAATGCAGGATTTGCTGGCTGATCAGCAGTAGAGCCGAGCCTTGAAAGCACAGGTCAGTTAGCAGCAGTTCAGATACACCTCCGAGCAGCGGAGCTCGTGTCTGCGCACACAGTCTGAGCTCCCTGTAGCTGTTTATTTTGCCCCATCTACAGGAGTTCTGCCAAACTGAATGCAGTGCTGATAAGCACGTGGGTATTAAAGCCTGTGTCATCCCAGCTGCAGGTGGTTTTCTCTGTAATTTTTAACCATGCAAGCTGAGGAAAATCAAGATTTGCAAATGAGTCTGTCTCATCCCTCAAAGCCCCCCACTTCCCCCTCCCTCTTCTCCCCCAGGTGTCTATTCTGCAGATTGAGTTGAGAGAGTTGTACTATAATGAATGATTTTATATTCAAATGGTTTACTGAGCACGATTTGTTTTGTACATATTGGAATATGATTTAACTTATTTTTATTGCCCCTTTTCATCTTTTTTTCATGACAAGACAGAAATCCCCACCCTCTCTCAATGTGAAGTTTGTCTGTGTTTGTGTGTAGTCTGCCAGGCAAACACACAACAGCCACAGGATTTCTTACCCTCCCTGCTGGTATCCAATTTTACTTTTCATTGTCATCTGCTTTTGTCTGAGGCTTTGCTTAGATTGTCTCTTCTTTCCTCTCTGCTGCACAGTCTGCACAGGGAAGGGAGAGGGCAATACAGGCAGGACTCTCTTCCTCTCCCTTTTCTTGTGTGCTTTACCTACCCTAGTACCAAGGAACTCAGTTCGTCTCTTCTAGGAGTTGTGTGACTGAGGGTAAACAAATACAAACGTTCCCCCACATGCCTTCCATCCTCCATGATGTAGATCAAACAGATTCAGCTTCTCTGAAAGTGATTGTGGCTGGAATCGTTCCATTGGGCTGAATGTGTATGGTTTGCACTTTTTTTTCCCTCCACTTCAGGAACTTAAAAACAACAAGAAATGAAAGACAACTGTTTAACTTGAGCCAAGTAACACTTAAAGCTTTATATATTTATTTATAGCATCTTACACAAAGTGTTAAAAGGTTTTTTTTTCCTTTTGTTCCACAAAAAAAAAATTAAAAAAAAAATCATCTGTTTTTGTCTAGATCAAGAATGAATGTTAGCGGATGAAATAAACCCTACAATTGAGCATCTGTCGTGTGTGTTGTCCTTGCATTGGCCTTTCGATGCTGTTCCAGTGTAATATCACTTGTGTCCTGTATTGCAGAGAGATAAAGCTGCCAGTCAAGCTGATGGAGAGTATTTGTTTTCTCCTAGCAAAACCAGCCTCCTAACACAGGCATACATACTCAAGCAGAAACCAGAGTCTGGTTATTACTATTGTTACACTTTAACAACGTGTAACAACAAGTCAACGTTACAAAAAGCCCTTAAACCTTGTCTTTAAAAAAGCAATTCCTTTTAATAGTGTACAGTACTCTTAGCTTTTTTTAATAGTCATTGCAATGAATGGATTTGCAGGCAATAAATGGTGGTTGTTATAGCAAGTATTACAATGTTTTGTTTCATCTTCAGAAGTACTTTCACCAAACATGACCTGTGAGCATGCTGCTCAATTACAGGGCTGAGGTAAGCTGTGCAACTCATTGAGACAGTGCAAGTTACTAAGTTAGGGGGTAAGAAAATGATGATACAAGTGCTTTAGTACCCTGAGAACAGCCAGATGGTCCTGGGAGCGTGGGCAATACCACCATTACTTCACTCGAGCATCATGACACTTCACACCTTCCACCATCTATGGTGGAGGAGCTGGATGCAGCATATGAACCTTCCCTGCCATGCTGCTCGGGTGTTCTTTTTTTCTCTCCCACCTCTGAAAGCAATCCCACTGGTGTTACTGGAAACCCACACAAATAAAATACGTAATTACACACCAGGAACACAACACTGCACCAATCCATGTTGCTGACCAACTCAGTCTCTGGCCCATGCAGGCACCGGCGGACGGTCCAGGTAGGTGTTGGTGTGAGGGAACCACACTAAAGGCACAGGAGCTTCAGCTGTTCAGTGCAGGCCGTGCCGTGAGCCTGCTGCCGGCACAGCCCTCACCTTCCGCTCCTCAGGTTTAACGGCGCCGCTGTTAAGCCGCGTGAACGCCCAGCGCCATTCCGGGCTCGCGCCGCCTCACGCCGCGCGCGGACCCTTTCCGAAGCGCCAGGCGGCTTCGCGCGCCCCGCGCCGCCCAGTGCCTCAGCCACAAAATGGCGGCGCTGCCGCGACGGCTTCTTCTCCGTGTCAGTTTCGCCACCTGTCTCCGCGGTACCGCCCCGCTTAGCGGCCGTCTCTGCCCCTCCGGTAAGTGTGAACCCGTCTCTCTGGGCCCCGGGGGAAAGCGGGCCGTCGGCACCCCTCGCCCCCGTGATCCGTGTGCGGCGGGCGGGGAGGGCTCCGCGCCCCTCTGGGTGCTGTGGGTGCGGCGGGCCCAGAGTAGAGGAGCTGGAGGTCCCCGCGGCATCCAGGGTGTGCCCTGCAGCCCTCGCTGGGGTTTGTGCGCAGGGCTTCTCAGTGGCCGGCTATGGGTGGTTGCGGCAGCGCTGCTGCCCTCCAAAAAGGGCTTTGAGTAGTGGTTGAGCCGCTTGCTGCAGTCTGTGCAGCACCACTCTTCTAGTAAGTAGAGTAGGCACCAAAGATCCTGGTTACCCTAAGTGGGGGCAGGCTGTGCTGTGAACATGGGCGTTCCTGTTGCTGAGACCCGGGTGCTTCTGTGTCCAGACCATCGAGCTGGTGTCCTGTGGTCTGTCCAGGAGGTGTTAAGGGTGTGGACACAGGCCCTTCTGCTGCATGGAAGCCCTTGTACTGTGGTTTGAAAGCATGATTTTTCTCCTCGTTTACATTCCTTAAAGCGTGAAAGATACTTTTAAGAAGTATGTCACAAGAATTGTGTGCAGGCAAAATGCCTTCATGTGCATACAGTCTTTCTGCGCCATTTTTATGATAGCTCTTCCTTTGTATCAAAGCTAGAAGCCTCGAGGAAAAGGGGGGAGCTTAGCTCGCAAGCAGATGGAAGGAAGGCTTCTTCTATTGCAAGAACTGATGTAGGAAGGGGAAAGGAGCAGAAAGGATGCTTAAGCAGAGTTTAAAAGAACTGGGGAAATGGGTTACTGAGGGTAGAGTCTCCAGAGTATTTTGTTCTTGGTTTTGGGATATTTTCCTCCTCATACTGATGAATGTTCAGTTTCCCTATGCTCAAGTCCAGGATGTTCCTGTTATGTTTGGTCGGTTTACACTATCCAGCACTGCCTCTGGGGGATATGCTGCCTCAGGTTAATTGGAATGTGCCCTCCTTTACATCCTGCTGTTACCCTAACAATAAGCAGCCCCTGGCTGCCCTGCTGCCCCAGGTGACAGCCTGCTCTTCCTGAATGGAAAAGCTGATCCTCCTCATAAGCTATCAGAGGAGGTGCTGCAGAGCTCTTGTCAGAGGGTTGTGTTTTGTTTCTCTGCCTCATGCACTCACACGGAGTTACTTTTAACTCTTCAGTAGCGTCTTTCTTGCCACTGTCTACAGGAGGAGGAGCAGAGCGAGGCTGTTTTAACACTGTAATGGCTAAGGGTTTGTGCACTGATTGATCTCTGGGTAGTACAGGTTCCTTTTTCCTTGTTGAGGGTTCACGTGTGGGTCCATATAATGCTGAGCAGCCTCTGTCAGAGAGCAGGAGGAGGGATGGAGATTCTTGCATAATATATATCTAGCAATCACTGAATGTTTCTGTGGAGTTTGTAAAAGTGAGCAGACTTTAGCAGAGCCCCATGCACTGCAGCTCGTAACACTTTATGATGTAGTACTTCAGTGGTGCTTACAGTAGTGATGTGAATTTTATATACAGATAAAATTCTAGGCTTTCTGCAGCTGGAAATGTTCATGACTGGTTTGGGCACATCAACTCAGACCCTCTGCTGCAGGGGGAAACTATGATGTTCATACACAGACTAAAAACACTGTAGGCTTGACAATAAAACTGTTTTACTAGAGTTATTACTTACATATAACCTCCAAATTAAAAGGGATAGTCAATGAAATATTAATGAACAGTATTTAACAGATCATTGCTAGGTATTGGGTAAAGCAATCGGAGGTTGCAAGTGAGGAAAGCTTCACTGGCAAGGCTCTGTGTGCTTTAATTCATCTGGGAGGTAAGGGGCTTGGAAAAAGCCATACATGTTCGTATGCTGCAAGCATTATCTACAAGCCTAAAATGAATAAAATTACCAGTCTATTAATATTAATCAGACCATCCCATACCATATTCAGGTGCTTTGGTATGTGATACTGTTTCTTAGGTCTTAGAAATTCTTTGCCTGACACAAATTTACTCATTTCTGTCTTTGATGCTGCTCTCAAAAGGCTTTTTTCTTACTCTTGAGTGCTTTCATGTCCCTGCCTTAGTCTTTCCTGCTCCGTGGTCCTGCTTCACAGGACCTGCAACATTTCAAGCAGGGATCTTGTGCCTGTTGCAAGGGGAGCTGCAGAACTGAGATAACGGAACTTTTTAATCAATATCCAGCCAACAGCACAAGGGAATAGTTGAATACCTGTCCTCAGGAGCTGGCAATGGATGAGTGATAGCGTTGCTTTAGAGATGTTTAATGACCTATATGTTATTTATATGGCGCTTTTTTTCTCTCCTTAATACTGTCATTCCGTCAAGCTATGGTAATGGAATCCAGATGTTTGTGGAATAAATGAGAACTAGTGATAAATAATAAACATGTAATTAATGTGGCTTTAATATATTCTTGTTCTTACTGGATTCTTTTTAAAAGCTGCTGCTTTTTGTTGACTTAAACCAAATGTTATACTCAGTTGTGCTGTAAATAGTTAAAATTCCGTAAGGCCTAATCTAGTTAATTCAGGCTGGATACCCAGTACTGAAATGAACATGTGGTAATCAGTCATCAATTTTCTGGCATAGGCAGTGACAACATGTATAAATCATATGGCCTTTGTGAGAGAGTAAATAACTTCCCTGTAGAGCCCTTTCTTTGGGATCATATTATTATTGCCAGACATTGTTTTCTGAACAAGAGCTTGCAGCCAAATTAGTGAGTGCTCAGATATTTTGCCTACTACAACAGCCCCCAATAGTACATGTTTCTGCTGATGGTATGTTCCTTTGTTTCCTTAATTTCAAATATTTTGATGCTAAATGAGGATTTAAAGAATTATGCCAATTAATTCCAACTTCTTGAAGGCTGTTAAGTTTTAACCTTTTGTGTTACTGGACGTGTTAAAGCCGTGCTGCTGAGTACTGGGTTCTGGAGTGGTTAATTTGCTCCCAGACAGGAAAACTTGGGTACTGGGGAACAGTGCCACTGGGAGAGATGTATGGCCTTCTGGATTGAGAGATCTGCTCTAAATCTGTTAGTTTCTTTGGTTGTCAAGATGAAGTGGTGAGTAGTTGCAAGGAATTCAGGAGTATGTGGTCATCTGTTTTGATGTATAACCTTCTGAAGCAGCTAAAATGAGCAGCGTTAGGTCATTTTGGGGGTGGAAGTAGAGGCAGTGGTCCTATTTGAGAAGTAATCTCATGATAGGAACCTATCTGGTGTTATCATGGGAACCTTTATCACAACTGTTTAGCATAGTTTCTCATGCATGTATTTTTGAATACTGTTGTGAAGCACATGATTTTTCTCCTCCATCTGGAAGGCTTGTCAAAGGAAAGTGTAAAATTGGGAGCCAGAATGTTGGCTTAAGACTTGGCCCTGATGGGGCATGGCCTCATCCCTAGTTCTTCGTGGTCACCCTTGGAGAGAGGAGTCTATAACCTCTTGGAGACAGCATTCATTCTGAGCAAATAGTCAGGCTTTTTGCTTCCTCTTTGCAATGTCTTAAGTTAGAGATCATTTTCACTGTCCATCTGCCTCTCTGTTCTGGCAAGTACCTCATACCCTGCCATGGCATTGCCATGCATCCCACAGGTAGTGAGGCAGTGACAGGCACTAGCATGGCTGCCTACTCCAACAGAGGAATGAACCCAAGACTAGCTCTGCGAAGATAGCACACTAAGACAGGGGGAGGGAGGCCTTGATGGGCAAAAAATGTAGGAGGGTCCTGAATGCTGGTCAAACTGAGCAGTTGTGGCAAGGACTGGTTATGGTACAATGATGTGCTGCAGCAGAGATGGCTGTTAGCCTGGAAGTTAAGTTTTGCAGATGTTGTTCATGTGATTCCTTAGTAAGTCTGGAGAGGATTCTTCCTTTCCTAGTAATATTTTATTTCTCTGGAATGTTAGGCTTTATTTTGTACTCCGTCAGTTCTCCATTGTTGTAAATGATGTCCGTAAAGTAATAATTCAGTCTGTGTGCATGAGACCTATGCATAAAGCTTTTGTTAGGACTTTATTTCACTGTTGGTTTTAAGCAATGGTTAAAGTTAAGAAATGCTTCCAGTTCTTTGAAATCATAAGCTTTGACTTTTTATATGTACATTTAAGGACTTTCACAGGAACAGGAAATCATACATCTGCAGGGACAGTGTTGAGAGGAACAATTATAGCAATAAATAAAGCTTTCTGCTTGCTTGCCAGTGTACTTTGTTTACTGCCTCCTCATCAAGTGATCTGCCATTTGTTAGTATTTGCTTGTTAGGGTCTTTCTCCTCTAAGCCCATTCTTGGTTTTGTGTGTATTTTAGTCATCTTGACAAGGGAAAAGAACTCTACGAAGTAGGAGCACTTCTAATTCACAATGTCTGTGACATCTGTTGCAGGACTAGAATTACAAACCACATCAGCATATTTTACTTTTTTGTTTTCTCTCTGTTTGGGAATCTCACTAGCTGTCTTACATTTTTGCTTGTGGGTTCTTGGTTGTGTTCCCCCCACCCTCCTGTGGCAGCTTTATGAATACAAATTGCTTTGTCTTTCTTCCTCATTCTTTGTGAAGGTAGGTTAGCCTAAGTCTGGGTTAGCCAAAACCCGCAGTAATTGGCAGCAGATAGCTCTGGTTGGATGGGGAGGTGGGATAGGAAGATGGTAGGTGGGACTTGATATGTTCTTTTTAGCAGCCCTTGCCTCCTATCATTCACTTCTTGGGTAGTCCAGAGCTGCCTTTTGTGTTAAAAGTGCTTGCATGGGTTCCTCTCTCTCAAAACCTGCTTTTTCAAGTTGTTGATTGTGTTTTCCCCTCAGCCCCTCTTCTCATACTGATGTTATATTTGTTTTTTATTAAGCATAGATGCCTTACAGGAAGAACTAGTAGTTTTGCCTATAAGGTGTCTGATGCCTTCTGCATTTCCATCAATTTACTTACATACTAAGTTCATTTGACTGAAATGATGCTGAAACATTTAGA